CACTATCATACACTAAGCGCTCTGGCGGTCACTCGGGGTCGTGATTTTCGCCATACCAGAGGAGTGAAGGCCCGAAGGCATGAGGGCGCACACCCCGACATGACTCCTTTCAGCGCCTGTTATACTCTAATGCGTGCGCAAGCTAAAGACACAAACGTTTACTCATTGCCATTTGCATTGGCACATCACAACAAAAGAATTCTAAAAATTGACTACCGTATCAGTACCGTATTGACTACCCAGTCATCGAAATTGCGTGTATCCGCCATCCGCCTACTATAGCCAAGCAACCGAAAACCAACAAACCGATAAATTAACCTCTTAACCACGCAAGGAAATAACCGTCCAATGAAATTAGAACTTCACGAATTTAAGAATCTCCCACATACTAACCGTCCATCCACGAACCTTTTTAGGAAATATTTCTCCCGAGAATTGATTAATCGAAATACCTCCGCAACTTTCCCGCAAACTACAATATTACTGGCTGAAGAGAAATTGGCCTTAGTTCGGTCTGCTTAGTCACCTACTGAAATTTGCCCCCTTCCCCCTCAAAGCTTCCGTTAGCGCTCGCGATGGGAGGTCAGCATTGCAGGCGAGGGCAAGGCAAATGTCCTTCCCGCGCTCAGGAATTCCGCACACCGTGCGGAGTTCACCTGCAGCAAATACCATCTCGCTTAATTGAGAAAGTAATTTCATTTCCATTGCAAACATTTAACCCATCAACAAAATTTAAATTATTGCTATTATCTTTATCTCTTATAGCAGCGTACTTAGATCAATTATTTTGTACTCTTAGAAACTAATTTTTTGAAAATGGGATTAGAGCATAAAATTACATTTGAAAGTTTAAAATATTTTTTAACTCGACAGGCAATATCAATGACGTTTCTGGTAAATATATTTGTGGTGCCCGAATAAACTACCAATTTTCAATGTAACTTTCTTCAATCACTTTCGATCGAACACCATACAACTATCATTTAGTGAAAAGCTCCCTTTTCGGGCGAAGTTAAACTTTTACAAGGTCATGGAAGTACCCATTTTGCTATTTGGAGCAAAATCCTGGTAGCTGAGACATACAGGCGTTAAATGCTAGAAGATTCAGATATAAAATTACGTAGATCTGTTAACAGCTGCCCTAGAGAAGGCCAAATCCGAAATGAAGTAATCAGGAACGAAATGGAAATTACCGCGAGCATATCCTTCATATCCCACTAGAATTTTAAAACTAGGCACGGAATATAATATTTTTTGCAAAAAGGGTGGGAAGACCAAGGAAGCGATTAGATCGGATTAAATTGAGATTGGAACAAGCCTCAACAGTAATCTTGAGGAGACAAGTGTTACAAGTAGTATCCACGATTTTAAAGCCTGCGAACCGTACACGACCTTGCAGCTTGTTGCAGCGAGAAAACCGATGAATCGGCAATTCAGGGACATCACACGACTATCAACAAGTATTAGATTTTGAATTATTTATTGGCAAGGGAGACCTAAGGTTCCGCTGTTCTTGCGTGTCATTTGGTTGTGTGAAATTCACTATTTAATAAACTCAAGTTCTTAATAAACGCTAATGTAAAATTTTATCTCTGCAAAAAAAAGTTTCTCTTACATGGGAGAATTTCACATTCTAAACGCTCGTAACGTAATCGTGCTCACAAACCAAATTTATCAGAGGAGAGAGCTTCTCATCAACTATTAGTCCTCATCTGGTCCTGATATACTTTATCACAAAATATGGCAGTATGAAAGCAGGCAAGATATTCAGTCGTGCAGATCTAACTCGCAAACATTTTCCCACTTTTTTTACAAGAGGCTTAAAGAACATTACTTTTCCAGCGCAGATTCAATACGATTGTGGAGACAATAAAAAGCAGGTCATGAATACGAATGTTTACAATAATTAAGTAGGTAATATATTTCTTGACATTCATAATCTTTTTCGATCACAATCTAATTTATGTAAATAAAAAGGGAAAGAGGCTTACCTTACTGACAATCCGGGAGCAAGACGCACCCGTTCAGCAAATACACGCTCCGCAAGTGATCTTCCACCACTCATTACTCCCCTACGACTAAGTGACGAAAACAGCCACTAGGCCGACGGTGGTCTGTCGCGGTACGTGATTGGCTACGAACGTTTCGCTGTTTGAAGTCATTTTGAACCAATGAAAAGAGCTCAAAACAAAAAATTGTAAGATACAATTTTGAAGAATTATTAATAAGCATAATTAGAACTGTTATAATATTTTTACGTTAATTTATTTTTATGAATGAGCTTCAAAAATGGATGTGAGATATTGAAGATATCCTTCCAACAATATTTGATAATCGTTCCATTCGGAATGATCCAGACCGTAACTGCTTCAATGCAATTTCTTTGTGGTGATGAATTATAATAACTTATTAATAAACTGTGAATCTTGAACTTTAACCCAAATGGATTCCATCGGACACCAATTTTGTGATCCTAGGCTTATTAATTCCATTCTATCAGATTACTAATACCAAATGAAGATAATCTATTTTTGAAAAAAAATTTTGAACAACAATTTTTTGATGATGTATAATGTGATCCGGTCGGCCTGGATAGTCGAGATCGTTGAGGCAGTGGGTTCGTAGCGATCTCGTGTCGAAGGATTGCGGGTTAGAATCCCGCCTCGGGCATGGATGTATTTGGGATCGTCCCTTCACCCTTCATCACCATCCTGTTACTTCATTATAGAAGGATTAATAATTCTCTGCGCGAGAAGGAGGCCTTTGCCCTTAATGGGATATGCAGTTGGCTAATAATAAAAAAACTTATCCAGACAAAGATATAATTGACTCCTTTAGTAACAATTAATTTATGATGAACATTTTATGTCAGCGTAAATGTTGTTATATTCAGATTTATTTAGTAAAAAAAAGTAAAAACTGTATATGACGAATAGGGGAGAAGATCATCTGCGCACGTTTTCTTGAGTTCTAGAACTCCTTCCCATCATTAATATATATAGTTGAAAGATGAGTAAAAGTTAAAGATAAATAAATAAAATAAAAAAAATAACATTTAAGAAAGCGCGAGATTATCAATATTTTGAAACAAACTAGACATTTTCGTTCCCGGGTTATAGAAAACGTTAAACGACACGTTTTGCAACGTTAAACGAATTGAAGATATCAGATTTTCTGCATTGCTAACAAAATAGTAACTCGCCCTTACCTCTACTCCTACTATTACAAGTAAAAGGAGAGTTCAACAAAACGTGCGCTTAGTGAAGCTACCTTTACGTCCAGAAGCAAAGCAAGGGGCCATCTAAGCATTTGCTCAATGGATGTGCCATTCTATAGCACCACAGGTTTATTTATTTACCATACGTTGTTCCATAAGAGGATATTTTGTGCGGGCTTTGATAAAATATACTTTTGTTTTAAATTGCATAAATTCCAGAGAGTTAATTTTTTACATAATACTTCTGTAAAGAAAAATCACTATCTCCAATTTTGTAGTATTTTTTACATTTTCGGAAAATCAGTACAATATCCGAAAATGGGATCAGTAGTACATTTTTACCATCCTTTATTATATACGTGAGAAAAATGAAAGAAAAAATGGAGCGGTTTTTGAGAAAAAAATTGTCTATATTTTGCGCAAAATTACACGGAAACTAATTATATTTTCAAAACATTGAGCACGAACTTATTTAAAGATCCGTCTTTAAGAAGCAGATTTCATTAAGAAAAATTCTTTATCTTCAATATTAGTTATAGGAAGACGTCCTCAAAAACTTCCGCTTTTACAATTTTAAAAAAATTAATTTCATCGAATGTGTGACCACCTCCATTTTCTTACGCGTTCAAAAAAATACTATCTGAAGACAAAGTTTCAAAAAAAAAAAAATTGTTGCCCTTTTTGAGAAAATATTCAAAATGTTTTTGAGAATTCGTGTGAAGTACTTTCAAAACTCAAACTATCTGTTTGAAACTCTCAAAGTCACGAGTTCATTTGGATAGATTGGGGAATATCATTTTTGAAGAAAATCGGCTGAACAGTTTAGGTGATAGCGTTGACTATAGACGTTGTGACAGACAATTTTGTGGTCAATCGAATTTTCCTTATCAAGAAGCAACAAAACATTGATTATGGATAACATGGATACACCAAGCGTTAGATAATCTTTTTCTAAATTTAGCAACAAGTTTCATCCACGATTTCGTTCCCAGATTCTGGCAAAAAAGAGATTTTCTGGCGAAACTTTGCTGTTTTCCTTCGCACGATTTCATAACTCTACGTTCTTACGAAGAAGTTCGTACGGCGAGAAAATGAACACTGAAATCCGTTAGATAGCCTGTAATAAATGTATCGTTTGTGTCGCTTTACGTACGTTGGAATTACTTACGTTTCGTTTTTTATATCACGGCATTCTTCTAACTACGCTAATGTATCAGTTTCTGAACTATACTGATCAGTCATCGGGGCTATCATTATAACTGTCGCTATATATATTCTGGCACTATTGCACGATTTATTGACTTAAATCAACCAGAGGAACGTATCCGTTAAGGTTTTTAAAAGTTCGCCGTCCGTATAAAACAATGAAAACAAATGAGTTGTAGCAAAAATTAGTGAATGAATACTCCCACTTCACGAAAAGTACTTCTTATTCGTATATTTTCTTATAAGCAGGTGGTATTATGAAAAGTTTTGCACGGCACTCAGCCGGCATTGCAAATAACAAACTCAGCTGATTATTAACCTCGGCTGTCTCTTCAGTTTAGAACTTTCAATAGCGTCATTTATTTTCTTAACATAGCCCTAATTATGTTAATAACTATATCCACGCTGTAGCATTTCCCCTAGAGGACGAGAATGTGAAGTTACTTCAAATTCTCGCCTCTACGGATTCAAAGTAACTTAAATCCCCTCCTACGTGCTAAATAATTATTGAACCTTCGTAAAAAAACGGTAAATAGTGCTTTATATAGAAAAACTAAATGGCTGAACGTGTCCGCAGGGATGCCGCGCTACGAGGACTTCCTGTCGGCGAGCGCCTTCTGCCGGGAGCGCATCAACCCGTACCTGTTCGCGTACGCGACGTCCGTGGCCATCCTGCACCGGCCCGACACGCGCAACGTGCCGGTGCCCAACGCCGCCTGCCTCTTCCCGCAGAAGTACCTGGACGGCTCCGTCTTCCCGCGCATCCGCATGGAAGCCAACGTGCTCGGCCCCGGCCAGCGGGTCAGTCCGCTCGCCTGCCTCGCCTTTTCCCGAACGAAGCACGAGGCACGGGTTGCGCAAGCACGATTATCCACGCCTTGTCACTGACCAGCGGGTCACACACAATTCCTTTCCAGAATCGAGTCAAAGATTATGTAGTAATCGACAATCTCAATTCCTTTCCGGAAACAAATAGGCGAGATTAAGACTCGATAATTTTAACTTCTTTCTAGGACGAGACAACGAGATGACGAGATTCATTTTTTACGAGCAGGTTTACCAACTCCTTTCCACTAACAATCACAGTATTGAGACTCGATCAGCGGATCACACTCAACTCCTTTCCGGAAACAAATAAGCGACATTAGTACTCACCAACTTCAACTTCTTTCGGGAACAAATCACGAGGTACATTTTATCAACGGCAGGTTTACCAACTCATATCTCGGAACAAAATACAGGATTAGAACTCGACCAGCGGGTGATACTCAACTCTTTTTCAGAAGCAAACTAACAAGATTAATACCCAGCAATCTCAATTTCTTTCCAGAATCAAATCAGGGAGATGTACTCGATAGTCTCAACTATTTTCCAGACAAAAATAACGAGCTTAGTATTCTATCAATGTCATCTCAAATTTTACAGATTTTGTCTCAATTATTTTCCAGAAGCAAATCACGAGATCCGTACTCGACTAGCGTATCAATTCCAACTGGTATCCAGAAAAAAAGTCGCGAGGCTGGTGCTCGACCCGCAGGCCAGTCCCTAATTTCTTTCCAGAAAAAAATTACCGAGTTTAGGAGTCGACCAATATCGTCTTACAAAGAAATAGGTGATTGATTTAAAACCTGTTTTCTAAAGTAGCTGGGAATTATCGGATCACATGCTCATAAAATAATGTTTTGCATTATTTTCTCAGAAGGTCACCGTTTGTCGATAGAGTTCAGGTTCTGATTTTTCGCATGTAGGCCAACTCGGACCACGCGTGCAGCCTGCATCAGCAGGTTACCTTTCGGGGGGGGGGGGGCGATCAGCATTTCAGCTGAATCCCGATTTTTATCCCACAAGATTGTTAGCCCTCGGGGTGTGGACGATGAGATGATGACGATGGTGAGGGGTGAAAGGACATATAGACATTCACAAATACACCCATGCTCGAGGCGTGACTCTACCCCGTGGTCTTCTGGTCCAAGCCCGCTACGGTACTACTGCTCTAACGATTTCGGCCATCTGACCGATCAGGTTCAAGTTATGTATTAAAATTATAAAAATGTATAAACCTGGAATTTTAAGAGCTCGGGAGGATGGAAGATTATAAGAGTATATAGAGATTGGGTATTAAAAGATTTTGAAAATTTTTGGAATTCAATCACAAGAAATTGTAATAGAATATAGAAGTTTACAGAAAATGTTTTAATATTTTTTTCACGTTTTAGTAATCTAATATTGCCCAGTATGTTTGCCTTTGTTATTGGAGAAATAGTTTTTATATCAGCTAACTTAAGCCTATTTGATGTATAGAAGCAACAACGCGGCCTCTTATCATTTGAATCGTTGGTGCATTACTTACAACGCTTTCTTTATAAAAGTTCGATATTGAGAATAGTTACGAATCGTGACGACAGTGTGTTAATGCTAAATATCCGTAATGCAATATACTCTTGTTACGCATTTGTCCACTAGAGGTGAACACCAACAAAATGCGGGATAATGGGAATTTAACGTTGGCAGCGCACTCTATTGCCACAGTTTGCTTCCAGTAATGTGATCATGTTACGATGTATCGTACAAGATACAAAATTCGGTAATCCTGGTAGAATATCGTTACCCGAGGTAGCTCTTTCGTGACGTTAAGAATTATCGCTTTCACACAGGCTCAGGGTTGAGTGCGTAACGAATACGATATCTTTCACACTGCGGGAGGTTCTCCTTTAGTGTGCATGCCCGTGGACGCTGGCGCGCGTGTTCGCAGGAGCCCATCATCATCCCACGTGACTGGACGGCCACGGACCTGGAGCCTGAGCACCGCGTCGCCTACTTCCGGGAGGACATTGGCATCAACCTGGCGCATTGGCACTGGCATCTCGTCTACCCGTTCGATGGCCCTCGCGTCGTCGTCGACAAGGACCGCCGCGGCGAACTGTTCTACTACTTCCACGAACAGATCATCGCCAGGTGCGCCTCCTGTTGGCAGGAAAATAGCGGTAGCGCAGTATACGCGTTCTCGTAATCGTATTCTACATCCCATTGGCTTTTAGCAGATTTAGCTCGCTAGGTGAACCTCTATCACCCCTTTTTTAAATTTAATTTTTCGATAGGGATTTTTTGTGGACAAACGGCATTTTACCCGTATTTCCAACACAGCCTTCGCCTGGAAGACCACTTCCAGCGCAGGTCTTGGACATCTTTTAAGTATGGGTTCCTCACGCATCCTTTGCAACACCTGGAAGTGGCTTTGTCTCTGTCAGAATTTGGACTCAATTATTAGTAATGTGCGAATTGTGTGTGGTCAGTATAACGTCAGATCTCGTGAGAACGGGATATTACCGGAGGAATGTAAATTAGCCGGATATCTGCCAGGGTACCTTTACATGTCAAAATTATAATATGCCACACAGAATTTTTTGTCTTTTTTAAATCCTCTACATCTAACAAGGGTTGAACCCACGAACTTGAGTTTTAAAGTCATTTCCCCAAAACCCTAGTAATAATGAGACGGCTCTCAGTTACCTCAGAAAACTAACAGACCAAGAAACATGGCTCGCATTTTATCGTGCTATGGCTGACTTTGAAGTAAAATTAAAATAAATATAAGGAAATCTGCATGTTGAAGTGTCTGAATAGGGTTTTATACAAATCAAATGTATATACCTTTGTGTCTGCTTCTTGCATCATTTAACTTATGTAAACATATAAATTCAGTATCACGAACATTTAAAAATATTTGAGTGAAACATCTTATTGAACACTCACAATATACTACAATTATCTTAACAATTTCTCTAAAGTTTTTATTAACGTTCCTGGCTTGGATAAATATAGAGAGCACAATTTTAATAATATTTAATACTAATTTTATAACAAAATTAAACACGTTCATTGTTCAGTTTTATCCCAGCATGGCTTGCGTATGAATAACATCAGCAACATTTGTTTACGACCTTCGCTTTAGATATTCATTTAAAGTAGCAAACATTACGTTTTGCTGACCGAGTTTTATTAATTTCACCAGCAGGCAGAGTACCATTGATTGAGTGAAATTGTATTAGCTTTAGGCTTTCAGGAAAAGTGATAGAACAGAAAAAGTAAGTTCGATGAGGTCACCGTCGGCCATTTGGACCACATATATGAGGTTTAGAGGCCGCGGACTAAAAGTCGTATTGTTGACAGCAGCCCGATGTTGGTGACAAAGCATTAGAAACTAATACACTCAGCCAGACCTGAGTGAATATAATTCATTGCTGACAAACAAATGCGTGCATTGGTGTCATTACTAACTGGGAGGAAAAGGCGGCCACTTGCAGATACAAGAGTGTGTAAACGCACTGCTAGTGAGAATTTCATCTTAATTACTGCCAGAAACCTCGGATAATTTACTACTTACTGCTTACAGCGCTTATTAAAAACTGGTATTTTGCTTTTTTGCGTGTTTGATGTTTCTCCATCTGCTGGTGAAGATACATAAAATCTACGCTGATGAGTGATTTTTGCGTGATTATTTTGTTTCCAAGTGCCTGTGTTCTTTCCCCACTGTGGCGTGATGTCCAACGCGGGCATAAACGTCGGCTTACGAGACTTCCCCTTCCTGACATCTCCGCCAGAGGGACAATATCCAAGTTCTCGACTGCTCTTTCGGCGTATGTGATAGTGTAGTGCATATAAATTGAAGTGTATGCGTAAGGAGAAAGGCTCAGGAAGGCAAAGATCGCGCGGTAGGTGTAGCCGCAGTCGGTAGCGCATTTGCCAAGGTACTGCTGCGGCATTTGTCTCAGAAACCAAAAAAAAAAAAAAAAAAAAAAAAAAAAAAAAAAAAAAAAAAAAAAAAAAAAAAAAAAACTACCGATCAGCCGACCGCATAAATCCCCTCCAGACAGCGGCTAAATCGATATACCTATGTAGCTGGTGTCGAAAATCGCCACCACCATGACTCAAATCCTAGGTCCTTACTGTCAGAGACTACAATGACAACAGTTGTTACCCTGAGCCATCTCAGCCGGATTGAGTGTTGAATCTTATAAAGCGCCTATATTAAATAAGGATTGCGGGATGTGTGCGCAGGTTCAATTTCGAGCGACTGTCCAACCACCTAGGCCGCGTGAAGCGCTTTCTCAACTGGCGAGAGCCCATTCCGGAGGCGTACTTCCCCAAGCTCAACAATGTGCTCGCCAGCCGCGTGTGGCCCCCGCGCCAGGCAGACGCGCGCCTCCAGGTAAGCAAAGGGCCATGCCCCGCCTCTAACTAGTCATGGCCCCAGCCCCATCCTCCATCCCCCCCGAAACACTTTCCTCCACCATGCATAACTCTCGTCTTACACTTTCCCCTCCCCGCCAATTCCCACTTCACCTCGGGCCAGTCACCGGCCCAACCACTTTCCCAACACCTCATCTACCCCGCTCCTGCCACCACTTGTTCTGTCCCGCGCCATCCGTCACCAGGCCATGGGTGATGCAAATATTTTCCTCGTTTCCCCCAATAAAATTCAATCACCTTTCATATCGATCTGAGCGCTCATTGTCTCTCGACTCCAGACACCTGCATGCAATATAAATCTGCTTAATTTCTTTAATCAAATTAGTTTCTTTCATTCTATTTAATGTTATTTATTAAACTTGTTTTATTATTATTATTATTATTATTATTATTATTATTATTATTATTATTATTATTATTATTATTTGTTTTTTAAGAATTAATATGCATAGAAAAACTTAGTAAGATGACTACCAGAGTAAATCTTTTGTTGACAATGATGACAACACCTCATTCAATTCATCTTCCTCAAATCAACAAAACTTTATCGACGAAATTTACGAAATTTACTAAAAAATCAACGAAATTTACTAAAAAATACTATTTAATCAACCTTATTTTAGAATACTCTTTTTGCATTCACCATACACTGCGCATGTGCTTCAGGCATATGTGCGAGCACGTGAAATTAAAAAAAAAACGTTTTTCGTTGACGAAATACGAATGACGAAACAATCAAAAAAGTTGTTGGGTCATAAAATCTTGTTTGGAATACATTTTATATATAATCGTAGTTTCCAATTTTAGATCTGATCAAGATACAGAGACAACAGTTTTCATGACAAAATGGACTATCCTGGATTATTTGAGATAAATGGATTATTCAAGATAATTAAAAAAATAGGATCTTCAATACGATAAAATTTTTAATTTATCGGCAATGTTTTAGAGAATAGACTTTTTTTTCATTTTAACGAGTTTCTTGCGTCCGTATTACTCATGTAGGTGGTTCGAGAATGAAAGAAACAAACACGATTATCAAAACACGAACCCAAAAACATTTTGAATTTTTACAAATTTCGAAAAATCTGAGTTTTCAACAAACATGAGACCTGGGTCATTCTCTTAAAGGTCCTTCACACTATCCAACAACAATATTTAATAAAAAAAACGTGAAGGCACATTTTTGAAAATTTGAAAGTGTCTCAGGGGCTTCATTAAAGTACCCCTAAATTAAAATATCTGTTTTAAATTCAAGGCGCCGCGACATCACCCAGATCAAGTAAGGAATATCAGTTTTGGAGGAAATCGACTGAACGGTTTAGCGTTATTCACAGACGGAGATATAGACGGACAGACGTTACGGCCGTCATTCAATTCGGTATCAAGGACCCACAAAACATGGATTCTGGCTATACCATGTGTAAGCCAGTAATAAGAGTTTTTCTGAGAACATTCGTCGTTTTTCGCGCAGCATTACATAACTTTCTCTCTACTGTGTAAGCAGTAGCGAGAAACTAAAAGGAACCTACTTGAAAAAAATAGTGGAGTATTTACCGTATTTTAATGAAAAGTATGTGTGGACACGTGTTTCAAAGTTTCTACATTCCCGAGAATTTTTTAACAATTTTTTAACAAATAGTCAGAGCTTTAAAATTAAACAAAAAACGAAACCTTCACTTATCTGTTCTTCGCATTTCATTCATTTTACTCGCATAACCAATCTTTTCCTTATATGAACATTCTGAATAAGAGATGTAACGTCAGTAGTCGCGTTGGACTGCGTGGGAGTAGTCGCCCATAGTCGCCGACATCTCCGACATCACTGCCCTGATCAAACTGCAAAGGAACAATTGTTTAAAATCAATGTTTGTAGGAAGGTACTGAAATTACGTGATTCCTAAAGTCAAACGTATTAAATGGGAAAAGAAAAATAATTTCGTGCGGACTGACAGTTGGCACAGTGCGCCACTACCACAGGGGGATTCCGTAACATTTGAATGTTTCTCTTTTGGTCTTTTAACCTCTCTCCTCCTGCCCCCAATTCCGTTTTATTTTTAAAGTCGCCTTTAAAATTTTAAAATACTAACGGGTGCACCAGCTTCTCATGACAAATAGTTTGTCTTGAATCATTTAACCTAAAATTTAAAACTTACGAGGTAAGACAGTAATTTTTACATTCAGATGTTGAGCAAAACACTCAAGAAGTACGCCGCTCTGTAAATATACTAGGGGAATAAAATGCATTGTTAACATTTAGAATTCATAATTTTATTTTTTACATTGAGTACATTTTTATTTCATTTCTCAATTTTGATACATATTTTTTAAAGTAATTGTTGAATTGGGGCACATTCTGAAGAAAAAATCGTAACACCCAAACACCACTATATTTTAGGTCATAATATAAATGTAATATCTGTAAATATATCGTGCTTATCCACAGGACGTCACAGCGACTTCGTCACGTGAGATGGCGAAATCGAAAAGTGAAAGATCGTAGAAATCGTTTTCAACTGAATTTCCTATACTAAAATAGGTGAAAAAAATGATGAAATGTATGGATAGTGTACGGAAACTTGATAGTGAATAGTCTGCTATTAAGTAATTTCTGGGAGAAATCTCATACTGTAAATTGTAGAACAGAAAATATTAATATACGAGTAGCATGAGTAATGGCTCTTTTATGACGTGCTGTTTATGGTGACAACACGCAAATATTATTTTATGAGATAAACCAGAAACTTTTGTATATTTCATTGTTTCCGGTTCGGCAGCTAATACTCGTTGAATGTCATATCTTCTGTGACATGCCAGGCAAACAAATCGATCTCGTTCAACTGGCCGATCGCCAGGAGTTTTACGAGTGAGAATTATTAGAAATTTCTTAAAATGTAATTCTAAATTCCGCCATCATTTGTCGTGAAAAAGAACATATTCCCACACTACGAATAGCAACGTAAGTAACAGGGATATTTTCCCCTTCAGAAACGAGTCTTTCTTAAAAAAAGACCAAAAATAATTTAGAATGGAATTTCAACAGCCCCTGCAAGTAGTAGCCGATCGTTCCTCCTAAAACCAGTTAAACCTCCACCACTCCTGTGTCTCTTATGGAACTTCGGATCCGCGAGCAGTCGACCCTCAATTTACCCGGAAGTGGCAGCACATCGGCCTCTGCTTAGCGTCGTGCGATCCACGCTTAAACGCAACTTATCTCTGAGTAAATGTTCACTACTCTCTCCATCTATGCCAAATGCTTACAATCTATTTCTACTCCGCACTCTGGCACCGACGAAATGTGTTGTGACCCAAATTTATCTTGACTATGTTACAAATTTATCTCGATATATTCTTCTGAAACTCCTTTATTGTCTTTAGACTTTTAAATAAAATTTAAAAAAAACTTATCTAAACACACACACACAAATAAAGAACCTTTGTAGGGAGACACATGGAAAATCTTGCCGGCTTGAGACCACGACCAATTAGACTCCATCATGTTACGGCATGTTGATGTTTGACAAAATAGTCACACAATAAATTACTTTTCGAAGTGAACCTATTACCCTTCAAAAACGGACGTCAACTGCATACTATATTCTCTACGCGAATATATCCTTGTTAATTATGCAAGGACAAGATGGAATAGATTGAAAGAAAAATATCAGGATCACTTTACTCCTCTATGGCAGTGTAAATTCACATATTTTCTCGACATGGAGCTTGACTCTGTCCTGTAGAATACGCTCTAGTACGCTCTAGTCCGAAAACAGCCACAGCAGTTGCAACTCCGACCGTCCATATGACGAATGCATCCTGCACATGTGCCAACTCCAGCGCATGCACAGGGGTGGGTGGATCTCCCTGAAGCACGGGCTCTTTACGAAATGTACGATATTCAGGTTTGGTTTTCAAAGACAGTTCAAATTCGTTCTTGCTTGCTTTTGCAACCAGACCGCTTTCCACCACTCGTTGCAAGAAGCCACTCACAAGAGCCCTTTCTTGCCAATCCTTGCGGACAGGAAGTTGACCATACATGGTGAACATGCACTCTCGAACATGATGGAGTAGCGAATATCCATCCTTAGAAGCTGCTGGATGTCTTTCGAGCAAAGACATTGTGAAAGGAGCAGCCACAACAGCCTTGTCTGGCGAAGAAACTACACTCGACATGTAGCTGTTGTTCTTCAATGGGAGCGTCTTTTTCGCGAGATGAGAGATAATACCGTTTTCATTCCTGAAACGACCCATTACACTTTCGTACCACCATGGCATGTACACAACCGACACTGATGCGTTTACATCTTCAAGGGTGTTCATTTCCCCAGCTCGAGACGGCGTTACAATGGATCCTGTGAATGCACCAGCAATTGTGTTTGCCATGAAGAAGTTTAGGAAACTCAGTGACACCAGTAGACCACGTTGTTTGTTGTTGAACGCACCAGTAAAAAACGTGTGAGCCACTTCAAACGCAGAACTTCCAACGCTGAGCTGAAAGCCGTAACAGAGAATGGCAACAAAGAGCAGAAGAATGACAACAGTTAATCCCCACATTGATAATGACACTGTAAGCAACATACTCATACGGACGCTGGGAGCTTTCGGAACTAACAAGCATAGATCTCTATTTTCGTGCATATACAAATAAGAGATGTTTTGCATGAGTCCATTGCAAAAAACAGGTTCGGTGTAAACATCTATAAGACCTTCGGCGAGCAAATTGCATCCTTGCTCCCAAGAGGGTTTGCCTTCTCGAAACACCATTTCCACACCGAAAGATTGGCAGGAAATTCCGAATCGAGTAGCGATCAGATGCATTACAGCTTCATGCCTCACACGGTTTATGGTTGACTTATTACACCAGTCTAACAGATGTCTAGGACTCGGTATACCGATTCTTAGTGAAATGTTTAACGCTTTAGTCAAATTCACTGCATCAACGGTCGCGTTGGTTGCCAT